GTGAAGAAATACATTCATATATTACAACTATTGACGATGTAAACATGATAGTGAAGTTGTAAAAACATATTTCGTGTCATTAAACAACGAACACCAAAAAGATCAGCTGACGGAAGCTGCATATAGTTTAATTTGTGATAGTACTGAATGTATTTGGTTGTCGACTGTATATCAGTTAACAAGTGGAAAACAATACAAATTAATAGCAGTGGGAAACGAAATCTTAATAATAAGATCATTCTGACTGGCACAGCGTTTAGTGAACTAAAAGAAAGTAACAGAAACGTAAGGCAGATAGTTCTATGAATGTACATAAAATAATGTTCGTCCGCTGTCTGTTATTGCAAAAGGTCTTTAATCTGACTTGCTTGGTCAAATTTTAGTTCAATAAACGAACGAACTCGGAGCAAAATATTTCTAAAGTGTTGTCTCTTTTTTGTTTCCATTCGATTTCTGTTACATTTCAGGATGTGATGGAAGTTGGTCAAGATAAAGTTGATTTGTGTTTGAGTCAGGATATGGAGGAAGAAGAGGCAATTAAAATTCTAATTATTGATGGTAATCCTAATCGTAATGAGTCGATATGTCCAAAATGCAAAAACGTAGAAGATATACCACCAAACGATGTTGCATATATTACATGCTAAATATGTGAAAATACATTCAATAAAAAGTTTATGAAAATTGTAAATGACATACAGATCGCTTTTATGAATGTTGGAATTGAAAAACACAGACTTTTTCGCCTCTGATTTAGAAAAAACGATTTTTCTCAGAGAAGAAAAAATTTTCAAAAATCTACGCGTATACCTTTGAAGAGGAGCAGACAGCGGATCGAGCCATGTACAAATATTGGCTCTGGGATCTCTACAAAAAACGAAATAAGGTTTGCAAAATCCGGTACGGATTTACAGCCCTATCTGTTTCGGATACTCTGAAAAACCCATCTTTCGCTCCCAACCCTTCAAACTTACTTTTCTAGATTCAGTTATTGACGCTGAATCCAAAAAGCTTTAGCGCGAGCGTTGAAAGCAAAACGCGAAAAAGCTATGGCCTTTTTCTAAAACCTTACTTTTTTGAAGCTACGGGCACCTTTGGGATTTTCCCGATTTTTCGACTGGTAAAATCTTTTTCAAAAAATCGGGTCACTTATATTCGTGATCAGCGTCAAATTCTCTATCGAATGGTGTGTGAAAAGTCCAAATTAATTCCACTCGAAGTTTGAAGTCTGTGCATCTTACATTATCTGTCATTTCTATATTCAAAATAAAAATTAAATTAAATAAGAGGTAGAAGCAATCAAGATTATCTTAAGTGGTAATTAGTGCTTATATTTAAAATAAATTTATTTTTAAAAAAGTTAATTTGTCGACTGTTTGTAATTTTAAGCTTCGCTGTCTTGGTCATCATCCGTACTAATATGATTGTTTTTTATCATCTATAAATAATGCTCACGAGAAATCCAGAACAATCTTTTAGTCCTTTCTATCACGAATCTATCGTCCAAAAACGCTACCAATCTCTAAATTGCAAATAAAAATGAAGTTATTCCAGATAAAAACTTGATTGTAGATGGATTTTGATTTTTATAGAGAACAATTCCTCCATAAAGTCCCGGGGATGGTGAAGCAGGAGTTTGAGGACATTAAAACGATAATGGATAACTGTCAGGAGCCAATCAGTAAAACTACAGTACCAGAGGTAAGCAGATTTATAAAAAAACTGGAATCGAAAAAGTCCTCGGGCTTCAATAACATTTCAAATTTTATGTTAAATTTGTTAATTTTCAGTTATCGAGAATATCTCGTTGTATGTTTTAATGAGTGGCTTAGTGATGGTAAATTTATTGATGCATGGAAAACGACAAAAATGATAGCTTTAAATAAACTGAAAGCAGGTATACCCAGCCCTGATCAAACTCGTCCTATCTCATTACTCTCAACACACTCAAACATATACGAGAAAATTTTATTAGTACGAATAAAAAATTGGGTCGACTACTATCATATTTTACCGGTAGAGCCGTGGACAACACGATCAAAAAACTCAAAATATCCTACGGTAAATTGAAGTGGTTGTCTGAGTCAAAAGAAGATTCGATTAAGTTGAACAGAAAATGTTTCTTTGCTTATTCATTTCCTTTCTTTTCCTGGCTTTTCCCAATTTACCCATTTTTACCGAAAATTCATCTAACGTCGCTAAATCGTAAATTTCGGGTTGGTATGAGACTAGTTTACCGTTGCCCCTTTGCTGAAGCTGACGAGCTATTATCGTCGACGATCAAAAATACAGGTGGCGAACAATTTTAGGACCCACTGTGGGTTTAAGCGGCGCAGTATTTAATACCCTAAAACCGCTGCCAAGCTTGGTTAAGTTAACTATTAACACATGTTGTAGAGCTCTTCAAGGCGCATCGAATGATTACGGATCATCTTTAGTTTCATAAGAAAACGTGATCGGCAGTTGCGATGACATAGCGGCGACCTGTGGAAGAAGCTAGTATTTAATTCACAACGGCCACTGCCAGGCTTCGTTAACTTTCCTATTAACACAGCTTTTCAAGGCGCATCGAATGGTATCACTAGAAAGTACTGAAAATCTTCCATGTAACAAACCTTGACTAAATATATACTGCTACTAAGATTCTGTTTAGAATCTGACAGAATTACAGCGGAAGCTGACCAGAATCTGCCAATTCGTAGAGAGAATGTATATAGAGTTATATTAGTTCACACTTATATTCTTCTTTATTCACACTTTGCATTCTTATATTTTGCTCAAATCTGCCAGATTCTGGTCAGGTTCTGAACAGAATCTTAGTAACAGTATATATTTGAATGTGTCGAATTCTGACAGTTCTGGAAATTTTCATGGGATTGCAGAATTGGACACCGCCGGAAATGTTGTATATTTTTTGTTCAATAAGTTTTGATTAAAAGTTTATTTATGTCGCTCAATTGAAGTTCAAATCTGGACTAAGTGATAGTAGATTATATACTAGTAAACAAAAGCTACAAAAGGCAAAAAACACATCCATCAATCAGAAGCGTCAGGTGACTATTAGTCATCCGACGTCACGCGTGTAAAACGCACGACGACGAGTCAATCAAGAATGACTGTTGATAACCTTATTAGGTCAGTGTGATAATCTACAACCTGAAATAAATTCGGATGAGCTCTCGTCTCTACAGCAGCGTACTCTTAATAAAAAGATCGATTGAGACAAGAGTAAAATGTTTGCCCACTGCTAATATTCAATAATGAAACAGTTTTATAAAAAACAAACATCAATATGGTCAATAATAAAGAAAATGTACGATGATAGGTAAAATTATGTTGGGTCAGTGATAAAATCATATTTTCTTCTTTCCCAATATGTGACACACATGGCCAATGTATCCAAGGTGAATTATAAAAAAATTATTTTTCTAAACTATTCCACAAATGAATCATATTAACTTCTATCATCACGCTCATGATATCTAATAAATAACTTGAATCGCATCGATTCACTAAGTCCATTGCCTGTAAGTCGAATGAGTGTACTGTCGGAATTATTATTCATTCTGTTGTAACTCGATCTTGTGAGTACAGAATTGAGCGATATTTTTTACGATGAGAAAGTCCGTATTTTCCACCTTAGTTTACAGAAGCAGTTGCTATAGCTTTTCATCGGTCAGAAAAGTTTAATCAGAGTGACTACGTGTTTCGAAGCCAAGTATGGAGTAGAAGTCAAGTCTATCAAATCCGGCACAAGTGGGGTTTAGTCAAGGTTCGTTACATGGAAGATTTCCAGTACTTTCCTAGTGATACCATTCGATGCGCCTTGAAAAGCTGTGTTAATAGGAAAGTTAACGAAGCCTGGCAGTGGCCGTTGTGAATTAAGTACTAGTTTCTTCCACAGGTCGCCGCTATGTCATCGCAACTGCCGATCACGTTTTCTTATGAAACTAAAGATGATCCGTAATCATTCGATGCGCCTTGAAGAGCTCTACAACATGTGTTAATAGTTAACTTAACCAAGCTTGGCAGCGGTTTAGGGTATTAAATACTGCGCCGCTTAAACCCACACTGGGTCCTAAGATTGTTCGCCACCTGTATTTTTGATCGTCGACGATAATAGCTCGTCAGCTTCAGCAAAGGGGCAACGGTAAACTAGTCTCACAAATCATCGAGATTTTCACCAAAAAATAAAAATGAACTAAAAATTTCGAAATACACATCAATCGACTCAGTTTTCGATCCTGATTCGAAATATGATATTTGTATTGCATAAAAGTTGAGTTCTATCTGAGAAAACTAAGAATTACTAGCAGAATTCCGACTTTTCGCCTCTTATTTAGAAACAATGCATTTTCTCAGCAGTGAAAAAGAATTTCAAAAAAGTGAACGTATGCTTTTGAAGAGGAGCATCTGACGGATCGAGCCACATGAAAATATGGCCTGTAGAAAAACCCGTGTTAGGTTTGCAAAACTGCGTTCGGTTTTTGGGTCATGCGCATTTCGGGATCTTTTGCAAACAGGCGTTGGGACCAAAAAACGTTTTCAGACTATTTTCTTATTCAGTTTTGAATGCTTAATCCGAAAACCTTTGGTTCGACGCAGGAATAGTCACTGAGCATTAAATTATGCACTGGTATAGTTTGATCTGTTTACTGATAATTTGTATATAATACTGAGGAAATTATATTGAGCGTTTGCAAAAAAATATCTAGCATCTAATTTGTTCCCTAAGTAGATGATGTGGATGAATATCATGTAGTGTGGATACTTGTACGAAGAGTTGTGTGAGGCTTCTGAGTCGTACAAGTGCTCATTCAATACAAGTTTTCTATCCAAAGACACAAAGGGACAAAGGAGAAATTCATCTTTTGTTGGTTGATGAGTTCTTCTCTGGGAATTTTCTGTATTCAATGATTGTAATTTGTCATTAACAATGACAGTTTTACCTTTCAAAAATAAACATCTATTAAGTAAGTTTATTTAACTATTAACGGTCTTTACCTACCACTTCCTGCTCCACCAACTAACATGACAGGATAGCCACGTTCCATTAATAAATCTAATATATAAGTAATTTATTTTCATCAGTATTATAATAATTATAACAATACGACTTACCCATCCAGTATCGAATTCGAACCGTTTCATTTGTGGGTACTAAAGCAGATTGTAACGGAATGTCCGGATCTAATTCAAATTTTGGCACTTTTTTACTCCATAATTCAAACTTTTTTGTTTCTGGATCAATATAATAGTCGAAGACGGTTGTATTAGGTAATACTGGAAATTTAATTGTTTTAAATTCGGTTAACCACCAACGACTAAACTCAATTCGATGATCAACAAGCTAGGAATAAAACAAATGACTCTTTTAACCAAATAACAGCACTCATATGTAGAACAATAGCGGGCTAGCGAGCTACAGAAGCAATCAATTTGTCTTTCTACAAGTTTAAAAAGCAGAAGGAAAGTTTTCTACGACCATCAGCAACATAAATCAGCTAAGCCCCTACAACGAATCAATCAACATGGGAAGAAAGTTTAGAGCCACTAGAAGTCTTCTTTTTTTTTCATCGAGATAGTGACAATAAATTGCCCAGCACAGAGAACATTGGTTGTTAATTTCTTCTATTCTGCTTGTGGTAAAGTACATATAACTATTAATCAATTGATGAACAATATACTGTTCTAACGAAAGCTTTTACTACTAAACTTACATTCGATATTAACGGTGTAAGCTAAAAATTAATGTGCACATAATTTATTCACAGATAAAATGAAATAAATATTTCATTCGAATACTTGAATAAAAGTTGGTAGTGATTTCACTAATGTGACCTTTATACGATAATGAAAACAAAATTTATTGTCATACTAAAGTATGTGCTAAATATTATTCTAAAAATTCTTAGTGTTTGCTTAATTTTAACTCAAATAAAAATAAAATGATCTTACTTGATCTTGGAACAGAGCAGCACCCATTGCCCAAACACATGCTCACACAAAATATTGTTCATATTGTTCTTTTGATGAATCTGGTGGCATATTTTCTGGTGTTAGTAGACATTCAAGTAAATGACACAACATCCATACATGACAACCATCGACTAATGGAGTTATTTTTTTGAAACGATTTGACTTCAACATATCCATACAAATTGGTAAATATTTGTCAAATAATATCTGTAAATTTGCTCGTTCACCTTGAACTTGTCGTAGATCTATCCATGATGCAACTTGCGCACCCCAGCCAAGATCTTGAGGATTAATGTACAATATACCAGCTCTGGAGACAGTAGCTGGCGTTGCTGTTCTTAGATGACTAATTTCAAATAACAATCTCATTGTTGCGTTCAACGGTACACGTTCATTGCTAGCCAATGTAAGTACTTTATTATCATCCATAACAGTGTTTAAACTTTCAATCCACATTGGATCGATATCACCATCAAGCACAATCCATTTAGGACCATCTTGTGTCATATTGGCCATATCACGCATAACAGTGGAAAATAGACCTACAAAACATGAGAAAAGTTCCATTATATTTTATTTTAAAACTTATTTAATCCTATTTTACCCTCTTTCCATTCACGCGTAGCTGGATTCATAAAACCAAACAATTCATTATTTGATACAGCTTTTGGATCTAAATCAATTGCAACTGGACGACGTTTTTGATTTGTATAAGTTCGATTTAATATTTTCCATATTTGACTCTTGCCTGTTCCAGCATTTCCCACAGTGAATAGTGAATGTCTTACTTCAAATAATTCTTTCAACTGAACAACTTTAAAAACGTGATATAAAATTTGAAGAAGAAGTGAAAAAAGCCGCATTGGATCTTAAATTACAACCAGAAGATTCTTTTGTTCTTGGAACATCAAATGCTGGAAACAAATCACCAATTAGACCCGTAAAAATTGGTAAATCATCGTGAACTATTTTTGGTATGTTAAAATCACGTAATGCACGCATTAATACTTCTCGTTCAGGACGATCAGGATCAGCACGTCTTAGTGCTCCAGCAACTACTAACACAGATTTTACCGCTCGAAGACCACAATCATAATGATGCTGAAAGAAGACGATATATATTTTTAAACTTTCTCATTTATGGTTACAATTGACCAATCTGTTTTGATAACAATTCTTTACATAAATTGTACAATGTTATAAATTTACACGATAATAATTTTCCATCTTTAAAAACTGATGTCACTAACATAATTTCACAAATCATTTCGATATCAGGTACGACCATAGCACATGGACGAAACAAGGCTTTCAAATTTTCTGGTAGTTCAGTACGACCAGTATATCCAGGATTCATTGTAATAAATAAACCAACATTTGGATTTAAAGCGATATCTGTTCCCATAAAATTGAAACGTGGTTTTTTATCTCTGATAGCATCTTGAATAGTTTTCAGTTGAACAGCAACTACGGATAATACTTCAACCGATATACGATTAAATTCATCAAAACAACCCCAAGCATCCGTTTGTGAGAGACCTTTGTAGATGTTTCCGATTGATTTGTAATCCATTTGTTCCGAACAATTAAAGACATAGACCATCACACCTAATGCTCGTCCAAGATCTTTTGTTGTCTCCGTTTTACCAGTTCCTAACAATTTAATTTTGTTCTTATTGAATCTTTTTATGATGATGAGATAATTAAATTAACTTACCAGCCGGTCCTACAGGTGCACCACCCATTACCAAATGCAATGATTGTGTTAGTGTTATGTAACATCTAGAACAGATATCGAAAAATAGAGAAGAAATAGAGTTCTACATCGAAGAGTATATACACACCTATCTGTTAATGGTGTAATAACTAATCGAGGTTGATTTCCTAAATATTCATGTGCATAACGAAATTGAGTATCACAGATATTAGCAAAACAATCTTTTTCTCTTTCATCCCATCGATGACGCAACTGACATTGCCAGAGAAATTCGTTACCACTTTCAATCTAAGAAACAAGAAAACCAATAATTATTCATAATTAAAAAGTAATTTTGGCATACCTTCGCCTGAACCATTTTTCCCACAGCATCTCTTGCATGTACATCAATTGTACAAATAGTTTCAATTTTTTGTCGTTCTAATGGTGGTAAATTGGTCAATAACAATTCAATAAGAGCGTTTAATTGAGCAACGGCTTTTTTGAAATAGTCTTTTAGTCCACTTTCATAACCTTCTTCAAGGCGAGCAAATGCTGAATTCACCTCCGAAGTCCACCTTATTTGACTTCCAGTCAAGGCTAAAAGAATATATATATATATATATCTTTAAATAACATTGAATTTATATGACAACTTTCTCGTTACCTATTTGTGCTGGATAATCGAATATCCATTGTTCTCTTGGTTTGTCTTCATAAGCATTGATTGCTTCCGATAACCAATATCTGACTGTTTCACGCATTTTATCTAACAATCTATTGAGCCAGCTTTCCACTTGACCATTGAGATCACACGATGATGGAAAATCGACCTTTTCCGATTCTTTTGAATACATTGCAACTGCTTCTTTTATTTTATTACCCTGTTTATCCTCAAGTAATTCAAGACGTGCTATGGAATCAAATAGTTTACTTAGATGACGCATGACTTTTTCTGGTACATTGCCATTTGATAGAATATCCAATAATTCAGCGGGTGAAACGAAATAAAACCTAAACTATAGACTTTTAATACTGTCTGTTTGATAAGTTATCAAGATTTACCTTGGAAATGCTAAACGTTTTGTTTCCAAATATTCTGCCAATGCTTTCTCACATAAAGCTAAACGTGCTTTAATACTTTCAAGTTCTTCATAGGCTTTTGGACGATTTGTACAACGTATAACATTCAAATCTCGTGTATTCTCTTCTGCAACATGCTGCACAAGAAAAAAAAGAATAAATCATTTTTGAAATGTTTTAGATAAACAAAAAGTAGAGAAAAAAAAATTACTTTAAAATCACGATCAATTTCATCAAAACGTTTTGAATCTTCTGGCAATTGTTTTCGTATATCTTCAGTGCCAATAAATATTGATTCCAAATGAGACCATGTTTTTTGTACTTCACGTAATATTTGAATGACTTGATCACCTTGACTTAATTTTTTTTGCCAAGATGATACTTGATTTTGAAAGAAAGCAATATATTTTGATTGAAGCATATTTTGAAGTTGAACCTAAAAAGAAATTATTTATACATAAAAAATGAACATAATTCAATTTACAGTACATACTTGATGATCTTCTAATGTTTCAATTAATTCATCACTAGCTGTTAATAATTTAATTTGTGTTCTTGGATGTAAATCAGTACCAAATTCCATTGTTGTCCATGTATTTTCAATATCTTTTATTGTTTTTTCCATACTCATTTCTTTTACTGCTTTATCAACAATATTTCGTACTTCTTCTTCAAAATTATGTAAATTTAAATTTAATAATTCTTCAAATGTTGTTTGAGTTGTCATTGAAAATTGTACACCTGTTGTATCCATTAATTCTTGCCAATGTCGTTCTCTAATTGCTTGATTTTGTAATTCTGTTATTGATCGTAATGAAGTGATCATATTTTTTAAAATTTGTTCTAAACCAATGTATGCATTCCATGAACGCATTTCTTTATCTAATAGTTTAATATCTTTTTGAAATTTTTTTATTTCACTATCAATTTGTTCAACATTAATTTCACGCCATCTCGTTGACTTCCAATCATCCATACTAAATCTTACCAAACTAATATAATCCCATAATTGTTTCAATAATTTTGTATCTTTTCGACATTGTTTAATGAGTTTATAATCTGGAAATGATACTTCGAATAATGCTGCTGATTTCATAAGAGTTTGCATATCTTTTTCCATTTTGACTAGATCACGATTAACACGATCAATTTTTATATAAGAATTAATAGTATCATAGGCATAGGGTGCTATTGCTTTGAATGTATCACGAAATTGTGTTTGTTTTGTATCAAATTGTGTTAATTTTTGACGAATATTGGTTACTTCATTTGCTTGTAATGGTGCTACATTTTGACGCATGGCCACATAATTTCGTTTCAAATTGAGCCATTTTTCTGGTAGTGTTTCAAGTTGTTTATGGACTTCTTCTGGTAATTCTTGATTGTATGATTTTAATAACTCAATTGTTTCTTTCATTGGAACAAACATAGCATCTGTGGATGCTTCACGTTGTTTAATAGCAGCTAAATGAGCCATGATTTCAACAAGTGTTTGATAATCACCTTCTTTAATTGGTCGTTTTAAATTAGCATCTGTTTTACCAATAAATTCTTCTAATTCATTCAAACTA